TTTAAATGTGAACTGTGTTGGATTTCTCCCTCTGCTCTGAGTAAAACTTTGTTGGAAGAAACACACAATGTTGTGTAGATGGGAGGCTGCACAAAAATTGCATGTATAAGCAGCCCCAATCCCACACCAGTGGACACCCACCTTCTTCTTCCAGACTATCTTTATTTTGGGGTAGAGACTTCAGTCGCGTAACTGGCAAATTCAGGATGTGCAATCCAAGCTGATTCATGCTGCTTGTTGGGGGAAAAGAATAAACACTTCTCCAAAAGACTGGACTTTTGGATGGGAAAAATGAACTGGAAAGTGTGGGATGACACTTGCTTTAATGCAAAGGCTGTTGAGCTGCCTGCCAAGCAGATAAGAGTGCGTGCTCATTAAATAGCCAACGCCGTCTAATTTCCCTGCAAACACATCAGGACAAACGCTCTACAAAACAGGTAATCTGGAAGCACCCTAACTCTCTGCTCTAGTAAGAGCGTGTAGGATTGCAGCCTTAGACTCCTTCAGTGCAGCGAGATACAGCACCTCTCTCTCCACTGAACAATAAATATTGTGATTGAGAGAGTTCTGTATTGTTGTTATAATGCAATTATTTTCAGTGTTACATTTCCGCGGTAATAGAAATGATTGATGATCGAAAGATCCCGGTAGCACAGAGAACAATCGGAATGTTTCAAATGGGTTTCCCCCCCCCTCTTCCCAGACTCTCTGGCTACGTTTCGGGTTTTGTAGCTCTTCAATCTCTGCCTTTGGCTGGCAATCTCTGCTGCTATTGCATGCTGATTTGTTCCTCTAAATAATGGAAGGCCCGTTCTAGTGAAGTGTTGCACCTGTGACTAATTCTGAGAAAGTGCCTGTACGTAAGTACTGTCAAGGCCTTGGACCACGTTCAAGGAGAGCACCTCATTTCCCAAGGGTTTGCCAGTTGTATAAAATACTTCTATGTCTTATACAAATTTCTAGTTGTATAAAATATTATTGGCAGTAATATTTCAAAATTCACTAACTGAGCAACGGGTCAAATTATTAGTGATTATAATGTTAATATAGGCCAGTATTCAATCAGGTTTCACTGAAGGGAGACCCACTGAAATGGATGGACCTAACTTGGCCATGTTTATTAATTTCAGTGAGTCTACTCTGAGCGATACTTAGTTGAATGCCATCCAAAATTGGCAACAATTGTTAAAAACGAAGCGACAGCAGTGGCACATGTTTTCTCTTCCTTCTGTCCTGGGATTGAGTTCCAGCTTTTATCCTGAAACCAGAGAGCCAGAACCCATCAAAAGCGGAGCTCTCTGCTGAAATCCTATGCACAATTAACTTGGGAGCAAGCCCAGCTGAATATGGTGGGACATACATCTGAGTAAGCTTGCATACGCTTGCCCTGTAAATCTCCCTTCTCTCTGAAATCCATCAGTCTTTTAAAAAAAATTCACTTTGTCTGGACTGTGCCCAGAATTTGTGAGTTTTCATCAGTGGTTTGCTTTGGATAATCTTTAAAGTATAATAATGTGTTTTTGTAGGGCAGGATAACATTTGTGGTCCCTCCACCTTACAAATTTTTAGAAAGATTCATGAGGTTGAGCATGCTATAAAATATACAAAGCAGGATCAGAAATATACTCTGGAAGATTAGTCATTTAGTTAAAAAAACAGCAACCCTTCTTCCCCATCTGAAATGTATGGGTTTTAAATCCATGACAGATTATCCACTTGCTAAGCCTTTTAGGGGGAAGGGTTTTAAAAGAAAAACATACAAAATAAATCTTGAATCTACTGCCTACTGCTTTGCAATGCTGAGAAACTGAGAAAACACAGTTCCTTTTATTGTCGGGTGGTTAGGTAAAACTTGGCAGGAGACAGGAATAGCTGAAGACGGCAATCTGAAATATACCTTCTGAGAAACAAATCTCATGGAAATTCATGTGACATTTACAGGTAAATATGTTTAGAGCTGGGGTGGAAATAACAACCTTTCCTGAATATGTATGTAAATAAGGAAGTCAGGCAGCAGACCAATATGTCTGAAGGCTTTATTTCCTTTTTATTAACTTTTGTAGGGACGAGAAAACCCAAGCAACTAATGTGAAAAACACAAACCCTCACCACTGCTTTTTCGGCACTTAAGAACATGATTTTGGTATCAACTGCACCCCTTAGTGTCTAAAAGGCAAACAGAAATAAACACTGAAAATCGATTGCCATCCTCACACCTCAACTTTAAGTGTGATAAGACCCACAAACAAGCAGACACAATGATTGACGATACAAGTTTCCCGTACTGTGGAGCAACAGATTTTCCATTGTTTATCTTCTACATACACTGAATGGAATACATACAGTACAGTATAGAAGTTTACATTTCTTGGGGCCCAAAGAACATACGTATATAATTCCACCTGCCACACATTTACCAGGACCGTCTCTGTTCTCTCATACTTGTCCTTGGTCCTCGCAGCTTGAGGAGGATGGGGTTTATTCAGTCAATTCCCCTTTGTAATCCGTTCTGCTTAGAGCATTATTCACTCCTGCTGTACCAGTTTAAGAGGCATAATTATTACCCTGGGATTGCTAAGCAGGCAAGAACATGCTGTTCCCATCCATAGGCCAAAAGAGCCACCAGCTACCATTCAAGCAAGAACAGCAGTAAGGGAAGAGGAGCATGGCTAGATCTGGGTCTAAATGCTCCCAGTGCAGCACTTTCTTTGGCCTTGGTTAAATTGGTCTCTCTCTCCCTTCTACCTTTCCCCTCCTCTCCGCTCGTCGTGTGACTGCCTTGTCTTTATAGTTCCTAAGTCGGACGGCAGGACCAGGCTCTCACTTCCCCCTTTTCTTTTCAATTGATGTAAGCTGCTTCGGGAGATGACAATTGCCTGACAAGCAGGTTAAAAGAAAAATACAGTAAATGAATTAAACTGCCTGCTTTCTCATTGTGTCTAGTGGTTGGAGGGAATGCGCTGAATTTGTACCTAATACTCCAGCAGTTCCTTCAAATACCCTCTCTAAGAACTTTGCCTGCATTTGCTAAACCTTGAAACGCTGCAGATAATGGTAGCGCCGGGAAGGGAAGCTATATTTACGATCCAAAGAAAAAGAATACAAATCTCACATGAGCAGGACATGAGCATTTCTAAGCTGTAGGAAAATGTATGATCTGAAGGTTTCCTAAACAGTTTACTAGGGAATACTGGCTGCCAGGCACCATGGAAATATTATCATTTTGCCTTTCATTTTCAGCTCCACTAGGCTATTCCACCTAATATAATAAAAGTATATATATTTAATATTGGATAGGAATGTTGAAGTAAATCTTCAAGTTCACCCCAAGAGCCCCTGAATTGTGTATACTGTACATCTCCTTAACTCTTGTTTCATGATATTATTATTATTAGCAACAGAAAGGTCATTTCTAGAATTGTTCCTAGAATTGGAAGAATTTCTTAACTGCAGCATTTAGGCTGAAATCTTGTAAATGGTTGCTTGGGAATAAGTGCCACTGAACTTGGTAGGACTTACTCTAAGCATATATATATACAGTATAGGATTGCATTGGTAGTCTATCTGTCCTCTGTACCATTAAAAAAAACCCAAGCCCACCTGATATCATACACACTATGTAAGTTGCTGCTTACAAAAGTGGAGTAGGAAATTTTACCCAAAATTGAATTGTACAAGTTATGAAGAACCATTTCACAGCAATTCAATATCTGGTCAGCAAAGCAGTAATGTGGTGGTGTTTTAAACCCATTTTAATTTAAATGAGGTGAAAGTCTACTGTTTTAAAACGTATTTTTTCCTCAGTGCATTTTCAACAAACACCATGTTAGTGAGGATCCAGTGTCAGCAACAAGAAAACTTGCCTGCTCCAAGTTTGAATATGTTATGGCTGTGTAATGGATTTTCACCAAATTGTTAATGTAATCAAACTGAGTACAGATAGGTTAGAGGAGATTCTCCTCCTCACTCTCAAAACCCGCAATGATTTCAAAACAAATTCTCTCCAAAAGCGCACGAAATGTATAGCGGAAGCTACTGCATATAAGTTGCAACCCCTGCATAACATGTAACAACAAATATTTGTGTGTGTATTGAAGCAATATAGAATCCATTACACCGAAATTGGCTAGCTAACATCAACATAAAGCTGCCATAGCCAGAGCAATAGCTCACGCTAGCAGACTACTCAGCCCAGCTCCTGTTCATTTTGTGAGCTGCGGTGAATGTAATAAACTAACAAAACATTAAACGGAAGGTCATAATAATTTCAACATGTCACTTGGGACAACTCAAGATTTCCTCGGGATTTCAGGAAGATGGAGGGACAAGAGATGGAATATTTGCAAGTTTTGAGATTCAAACACTTGGGGGAACTCCCCCCCCCCACACACAAAAAATACATTTCAGGAAACCTTAAAAAGCTCTCCTGGTTCTCCACAAAACTGTCCCTGAGCCCAAGCATATAAACAACTAATGAGCCGCTAGCTACAACACCAGTCACATCTCCCGGCATCTATTACACATTTTATTACCAAAGGTCTGCTGTAACTATGGATATATTTAGCGATTTAAGCTCCGGCACATTAGCTGTCTCGATCGCTTGGCTAATCTCTGACTAATTTTCCTTGCCTGCGTCAGCTGAGATATTACGGCTTCATTTGGATAATGCTGCAATATAAACACTGCAGGCTTCTGGTGCCACACATCTCGATCTCCAATAACCGTGTCCGCATTCTGTTGCATTTGCTAGCTGGGGTATTATCTACCTCCCATTATTCCACAAAACATCGGTAAGGCCGATATAATGCAGATAACATATCCACGCGAATGCTGCAGACTTTGCTGCCTTAAATATTTCTCTGATCACATTTTTCGGGTTTGGCTGCGCATGCTGCTTGCGCTAGGATTTATCATGCATTAGGGAAAAGAATGCAGGGGGGGAACCCCTCAATGTGATACAATAACATAGTGACACAATACAGCGATGATAGCAAACCAACCTTTTTACCCCCCCGATTGCTTGTGTCTGGAGATCGCGTCCACCACTCTTCTCCACCGAGGTTCCTGGAATCTGATATCAGCTGGGCTGGAGTTTCTTAAAAATGAAACCTTCTTTGCTGGGAGTTTATGAGGAAGTTTGGCGAGTTTTACAAGCCCTTGGGTAAATGGCAGACGGTCGCCCCATGGAGTCAGATCGGATCCACTGATGGGGAAGGAGAAATAGAGCCTCCAATGATCTGTTGAAGCATTAATGAGCTATGCAAGCCTGGATGTTCAGGTTTCTCACCCAGGCCTCGAACCATGAGCCACTGGTGGTGAAAGAGCTTTCCAGAACTCTGGGGCTTTGATCTGTGGTTGCAACATTCCTTGATGGAACTGGACTGAGCGAGTGGGCTTCTGACAGTGATAAACAGTGTGTCGGGGGGGGGGGCAGAAAACGCCCCGAGAAGACAGATCCCCAAACACATGCGGACAGGTGGGCAGATGGCATAGGAGAGAGCGAGAGAGAATGAGAAAGGGGAGCACAAGGCAAATGGATCCATGCATTGCCACGAACCGTGAAATAAACCCAGGTTGGAGGCATGTGAAAAAGTTGAGAGACAAAGAGAGTTATGCTCTCTTTCTCAGACAAACACATGACGGGATATGCACTGGTTGGAAATGAAGCCGCGTGGACACCCCAAACCTTTGGCAGGCACAAACAGTATCGAAAGAAGGATCGTATACGACCATCCCGATAGATCATGAGCGTAAACATCACAAATGTGTAATTAAAAAGGTCATCTGGGAGGGGCCTGATGGCTATGAGATGATGGCTATGGGAAGGGGTCATGGTGTAGCAACTCATCCAGCTTTTGCTGGAAAATGTGACTTTCCGCTCCCATCCCGCAGGTCAGGAAAGAGGAATTGCATAAAATGGGGGTTGCGGGGAGGAAGAGAGGTGGCAATACTGTGCCGGCTCACCTGGGACAACGGGAACGAGGCCCGTTGAATACCGTGGGACTTACTGCTAAAGAAACATGCACAGGTTTGTGCTGTCACATAGTTGCTAAGGATGTAAGAAGGAACCTTTTTCGTTCCACCCTGTTTTGCCACATTCAGCACTGTTTCTCTTGCACAGCCATTTGCCTTCTACTCAAAATTACATTGCCCCACTGTCCACTGCAATGGAATTATTTGAAGTCCGGTTTTTATTAATTTGAGGTGTGTATGTCCAAATGACCATGTGCCATTTCAGGGGATGAGTGTACAGAGTAATGTGGCGGAGCTTCAAATTAGAAAAGGCACCGCCTTCAATCTGAAACTCCACCCCATCCTACACTTCCCTTCCCTGGAAAGGTACCTACCAACAGCCCCCAGAGTCATCTGGACTTACCTATATAAAATCATTTTTTAAAAAATCAAATTCATTATTTAAATGTACCCAGTGTTGCATAATCATAGTAGGGTAAATAAGTATTTGGAACACAGTGGTGGCAACCAAATAATTGCCTGTGGAGTTAATGAATTACCAAATATAAAAGCCATTTTTTTAATGGGGACATTTACTTTCTAAGTAAGAAATGAGAGCAATCTCTTAAATATTTTCCACACCGTTCAAGGGTACCATTGGTCTGAAATCTCTAAATAAATAAATAAAATGCAGTAGCGTCCAATATGAAGCTACATGAAAGCAAACCCAAAATATAGCACAAGCAAGAAAGACACACTTGCAAGCTTCAGTCAGCAGAGTAATTGAAGTCTCAACCACAGTTTCAATCCCCCACTGCGCCAGCATGATTAATAAACAGGACTGTCATAAATAGCTGTTGCAGCAGTCCATACAGAGACACACCAGTTCCATCCACCTATGCCCAACACAGTGGTACCTTGGGTTAAGTACTTAATTCATTCCGGAGGTCCGTTCTTAACTTGAAACTGTTCTTAACCTGAAGCAGCACTTTAGCTAATAGGGCCTCCTGCTGCCACCGCGCCACCAGAGCACAATTTCTGTTCTCATCCTGAAGCAAAGTTCTTAACCCGAGGTACTATTTCTGGGTTAGCGGAGTCTGTAACCTGAAGCGTATGTAACCTGAAGCGTATGTAACCCGAGATACCACTTTATGCTGAAAAAAGAAACCTGAATCCCCGATCCCATGCATGTCCCTCTATAACAGCCTTTGCTGATCTGCTCTCCTGATGTCTTGGACTACAACTTCCATCAGCCCCAAGCAGCATGGCTGTGCTGGCTGATGCTGATTAGAGCTGTAGTCCAAAACACATAGAGGGCACAGGCTGGTGCATCCCGTTTTGCTGCTTGAAGTGGAACTGGAAGGTACCGTCACTCTGCTGATGCCACTGCTGTGTTGTGTGGTCTTGTCCTTGAAGCAGCAGTGGCAATTTCTGGAGAAATCTCGCGGAAATTGCTACCATTGCTGCTTCTCTGGCAGTGGTGGTGGTGGTGGCAGGGCAGGTGGAGCCTCACTCCGCCTCATGAACAGGCCAGCCCTGGGTTGGCGAATGCTGCTCTAAAATAATTATCACTGACTTCAGTGGGATTTACTCAAATTAGGGTGCATAGGATTACATTCATACCTGAGATTCTACCTGACTTTTAGAAGACATCTGAAGGCAGCCCTGTTTAGGGAAGTTTTTAATGTTTGAAGCTTAATTCTGTTTAATATTCTTTTGGGAGCTGCCCAGAGTGGCTGGGGAAACCCAGCCAGATGGGCGGGCTATAAATAAATAAATAATAATAATAATAATAATAATAATAATAATAATAATAATTATTATTATTATTATTATCATCATCATCATCATCATCATCATTATTATTATTATTATCATCAGAGGTTTTCCTTCCATTTTGTATCCAAAGCAGATAGTTGTCATCAGGGATGCCTGAGGAATTATTGTACTGCACCTCCCAAGCTTTAATAAGTGGATCAGAAAATAGATATCCTTTGGATTTCCCACTTTCCCAAAGTTTACATTTGATTAAATATATGCGGAGTTTGTGAGAAAATCTATTTTGCAACATACATTTTCTGAGAAAACCTATTCAAGGATACAAATTTAGATTCATATTTAAATTGGGATTTTCATGCATCTTTTAAAAAAATTCCGGATTAATGTGGAAATAACATGAAATGGAGTTATGAATGAACAGAGACACAGGTAGCACAGAATAAATATATTCAGAGATTTCAATCCCTAGTTGTCATATCTGAGAGAAATTAGTCCAGCTTTCCCTCTAGCAGCCAGCTTTCCTTCTAGCAACCACAGCAACAGGCAAGTGGAGTGGATAATTTCTGGCCGAGGTCAGTGCTGGAATGCCTTGCTCTTCCATATAGCAAGAACGTAGAAACCTGTCACCATCCAGATGCTGTTGGACTCCAACTCCCAGCAGCCCCAGCCAGTTTGGCCAGTGGTCAGGGATGAAGGGAGTTGTAGTCCAATATCTGGAGGGCCACATCCAATGCCTGTTCCAAAACATGACTTTATAATTGTTCTTTTTTTTGTTAAAAAGACTTGTATGAATTTCCTGTCAGCCTCCTTGACTACAGTATTTTTCAGCTAAAAGACAGGATGTAAGTTATCTTAAATAAACAATACTTGCGGGGGTTTAACTTGTTCGTTTTAAATCCAGTTTGCCTTTTTTTATCTGACAATAATAGGGAAGATTAATCTTAAAGACTCCCAAAGCGAAATTTCCTTCCATCAAGTGGGAATGAGGGAGAAATGTTATTCAATTAGCGTTTAAAGGTGAACTTACCTAATTCTCATGTTCCAAAACAATTCATGAACTGAAACAGCATCCTTCAACATTGAAACGCCTCCGGATTTTGCAACGTGGTTCTCCAGCCAAGTAATTGCATACCCCAGGGCAAAGTGTGAAAATAAATACATAAAAGTGAAAATAACATAGAAAAATGGAGTACATGATAGAAAATTGCTTTGCAATAATGTGCATATTACGAGAAAAGCTTGCGAATTTTCACAAAGTGTGTGTATGTGTGTGTGTGTGTGTGTGTGTGTGTGTGTGTGATATGAGAATGTGGAGAACTAAATTTATTGTTGGAAAAATGAGAACCTGAAACTGACATTTTCCCACATTCCTAATACCAAGTGTCACTT